ATGGAAGGATTTCTTTCTAATTTCCAAAGTAAACTTAATCTCTTTCAGTTTAAAGTCATTCCCCCTTGTTCCTTCAGCTTCTTTAAGGAAAAAATCTTTAATTTTGCTGCATTTAGCAGAGTTTTCCAGTGTGTAAGGTTCCTGTGGAGGTCAGTAACCCTGACCTCTGAATAAACATGGAAAAAGACTCTTTCTTAAGACTGGTACACCAGGAATGTTCCTGTTTCAGTGGGAGATGTGGTACATTTCAATCAAGGCTGCTGAAGAAAACAACCACCTGGGTGTGCTCAACTGGAGGGGACACAGCCAAAATATTGTCCTGAGTGTGTGAAGTGCAGAATTTGATGCAATTCAGTGTGGTCAAAGCAAGGATGGGGGCTGTGTGTCAGACATGGAGAACTGAGGTATTACTCCTCTTCCCTGGATGAATTTGTTTTTAGATATTGTTTAAAATACTTTAAAAACTAATGCAGAAGCAATTGTTTAATTGCTAATAAGCTCCTTGAACCGTGAAGTGAGTCCAGAAGGAACGACTGAGCTTAGCTACTCCAAAAAGGGTATGGTTTCCACTTTGGCACAAGTGATTATTTGTCTTGATAGAAGAGCAGTTGCCTTAATTAAAACACTGTCCACATACCTGGGCAGCTCTGCAGGAGAGTTTGGTTTCACAGGACAACAGGATCCTTGTTCGACACGTTTCCCTCACTTTCTCATCCAGGTTTTCTTTCCTCTGCACTACACATCCTTTGTGTATCTCCTTGGAAAAAAATATCCCCCAAACACTGTGCCCTGTTCCTTGTGAATGATGCTGTTATTCCAGGCTGAGCCCCAGATCTCCTTTTTTCTTTCCAATTTACAGTGAGGGTGGTCTCACTCCCTGAGTAGCCAGAGCCACCAGAAGAGATGGCTGAGAGCTGATCTGGTGAACAAGGGTGCCCTAGGGCCAGGTGACATTAATGCTGGCCTCTAGCTGGAGATACAAGGTGCAGATTGTGTTCTGCATGTGACCTTGCAGTGCCTGGAGTGGGGAGACATTGTGTCAGAACAAAGGTGGGAGCCCAGTCTTTGCTTATAAAAGAACCTCATCCTCTAGGGTTTGCAGCACAGTGACATTTATTTGTAGTGCAGTGCTAAATGGAACCAAATCACTGCTTTGGTGTTTCAGTTTGCACTGAGGAGTGGCTTCATTCTTGTGTTTCTAAATTGAAGACAAAAATCCACATGTAATGACTGCTCTAGATAAGTGCTCAGGCACCTGAGTGAGTTTTGGCTCTTCAGTTAACACAGAACAACCCTAACAAGAAAAATTAACAACACAAATCCACTGTTGTTGAAAACTCAGAGCATCAGATGCCTTCCAAGCAGAGTTGCCTTTGCTGGGATCAGAAGATAAACTGAACCCTGCAAGAGTCTGAATGTGCACAACAGTAATTTAAATGATTTAGTAAGATTCAGTTTAAATGTTTTAGTAAGATTCAACACTCGACATGGAAAAGAATCCAAAGGACCTAAATTCAGAAGGAATCATACTCTCATGAACATAAACCTGAAGTGTTTAAAGCTGCAAATTACCTTGTTCAAATTACTGCCTTTGCCTTGTAAGCAATTTTCAAGAGTAGAAGAGGAAAGGCAGTGTGCATAAATTGTAAATTCATTCTTAGGAAGTACAGTTGATGTAATATATGGTATAAAAATAACATTCTTGGGGTAACTGTACCTCACTTTGGTGCTTTTCCAATAATTAGTATTACACTAATAGTTCCATCAGCTGGAATATCTGTTCTTTTTATAAATACTGTCAAAATTCTCTAATATTTCCAAACTAGATGAGTGGGGTTTATTGTGTTTTATTCTGAAAGACAGGAAGGGAAAAAATAGATTGCCTGAAGTCTTGTGGAGTGTCTGTACCAAGGAGATGGGATATACAGCTTGTTTTACAATGCAGGGTTATAATACAGTGCAGTATTATATTCTAGTTTGTGTGTGATATAATGCAGTCACTGTTATGGCTGTAGGAATAACCACAGCCCTCAGAAATTGGGAAAGAGACCCTGCTCCCGAAGATTTGTTACCAAATCATCCACAGATAAGTTCAGTTCAGTAGATTGCATCTTAAAACAACAATGGGTTACAAGTTCCTTCTAGTCAGTATGGGATTGTGCTCTGAGCCCTGCAGAAACCCCACACCAGGCATGTGCTGTTCTTAAAAGAAAGTTAAATCTAGAAGTTACTTGTGAGGGGTTTTTATAAGGGCTGTAAATTCAGCTTTTCTGCAGGGGAATCAGCTCAGCCTCGGTTGGGGTTTTTGTGAGAAGGCTTTGTGTGGGTATTTGGGGTTGGAGGAGTGCACAGTGAGGCCTCTCCTGCTCCCTTAGCACACGTGTAGTGTGGGCTGTGCCCAAAGAACCAGAGTGGAAGCAGAGACTGGGGAAAAGCCACTTCCCCCCAGTTCTGTTTCCATCCCTGCTGCTCATCCCAAAGGCAGCTCAGAGGCAGAGTCTGTCCCTGTGCTGAGGGGCTGCTGGCCAAGGGCTGTGCTCCACTGGTCCCCTCTGCATCCAGCTCCAGGGCTGGGCTCTCCTGAGGCCAGGCAGGCACACTGAGATGCTGTCAGCCTGAAGAGTCAGCCCAAAATGAATGGTTAATAGGGAGGAGAAGGAAGGGACAGAGGGGATTCCACCAGATGTGCTCACAGATGGATCATTTCACCTGCCTTGTGCCCACACTGCTGATTTGGATCAGCCCCTCTTGGGTTGTCTGGTCTCAGGAAAAGGAGGAACTTCCCTAAAAGCTGCTGCTTGTCCACTTGTGTTTACCCAGAAATGTGTTGTAGGTTTGAGGCCTCCTCAGCCAGACCTAAAGGAGGAGCTCTGAGAGCCCCGAGCTGGGTTAAACCCTGAACTGCCCTGGGCTCTGCAGTTCTCACTCATGGCCATGTTACAGTCCTGTAGAGACCAAAATAAAAACACTCAGATGAATATTTCAGCTTTTTCAGCATTTTACCAACCATGTCTTAGTTTGCCTCTGATTTTTTGTGTTTAAGGATAGATTGTGTGGGTCAGGTGTTGGATCACTTGGAGAGACCTTAAAGCCCATCCAGTGCCACCCCTGCCATAGGCAGGGACACCTTCCACTATCCCAGGTTGCTCCAAAGTTGGTTGATCCAGCCTGGCCTTGGACACTTCCAGGGATGAGGCAGCCACAGTTTGTTTTGTCATTTCCATTTAGGATTTTTTTTTTTTTTTATTTTTCACAGTCACATTGGTTTATGTGTGTCCCTGCTCACTCTGACTGTCATCCTCTGTACTGCCTTGTACTTGGGGTTAGGAATGTTTTTGTTCCAGGCAGTTTGATCTCTTCTGTCCTGTCTAGTGCATTAAAATCATTTCGGGGCTGTTGCACCCCAAATTTGTTTTTTCTCCTCCAGGCTTCTTTCCTTTGAGATGGTGCTAATCCATTCACTGAATCAATGGCTTGAAGAGAAGAAAGCACATTTCCATGTTTTCTTTATTCCTCCCTCCCCCTCTTTTCATTTCTTATGAGTTGTGAATTCATCACGCCATGATTAATTTTGCCCTTGATTGCCTTTTGTCTCCAGTCTCAGTTAGGTTTTCATCTCTATGATGCAGAGTGATCTGTAGAAGACATTCCACACTGCTTATTCCTTTCTTGTTTTATTAGCACATTGTTAGCAATCTGTTCAAGAACTTACCAGTTGTGCTGTCACAGCCATCTTTTATGAAAAATCCTTTCCTTAGGATTTTTCCTCCTGAGGAGCTGAGAGGCCTCAGGAACAAAATGTAACCAATGGTTATCTGCTGCTGTGGAGTGCAACAGGTGCAGCTGGGATTGGGCTCATGTGGTTGTTTCTAATTAATGGCCAATCACAGCCAGCTGGCTCGGACTCTGTCCGAGACCAAAGCTTTTGTTATGATTCTTTCTTTTTCTATTCTTAGCCAGCCTTCTGATGAAATCCCTTTTTCTATTCTTTTAGTATAGTTTTAATATAATATATATCATAAAATAATAAATCCAGCCTTCTGAAACATGGAGTCAGATCCTCATTTCTCCTCTCATCCTCGAACCCCTGTGACACGGTCACACTGTGGTCCTGCTGTGTTGTTGGAAAGGACATTTTGCTTCAGTCCATTTCTCTGGCAGTGAGGTCTGGGCTGTGTTCCAGCAGGAAGCACACCTGCCCTGGTTGTTTGATGCCAGCAGCTGCAGCAATGATTGCTGGTGGTCCCTGGGCTGGGGCACAGGGCTGCACATGGCTTCAAGTGTGTGCAGGGACATGAAGCCTCGTGTCCCTGCAGGGCATCACAGGCCCTGTGCCACGCTGTGAGCAGAGCTTGTCTTTGTCCATGGGCAGGGCAGGGGGGCAGCTGGTCCTGGATCCATGGGGGGCTGTGCAGGATGCAGGAGGTGTGTGGGATCTGACATGTGCACACACACACACACAGACACACAGACATGTTTATTCTCCTTAGCTAGCCCGGTCATCCTTGGCTACTGGAAACTGCTCTGAGCTTGGGAAAGCTCACTCCAGGCTAGGGATGGTGGATTCCTTCAGCAGCTCCCTCATTCCCACTGCTCTGTAAATATTTGCTTTTATCCACCAGCCCTGGACAGTCACTGCCCTGGCTGCCTTGGCACAGAGTGAATTGGAGTGTATGTGTGTGTGTGTGTGTCCCCGTGTGTGTGTGTGTGTGTGTGTCTGTGTCTGTGTGTGTCTGTGTGTGTCTGTATGTGTGTGTGTGTCTGTGTGTGTGTGTGTGTCTGTGTGTCTCTGTGTGTGTTGAGGTGTGCAGGGCCACACCAGTGCTTTGGTCATGAAACCTGAAATTACTGGAGGTGGGAGCACAGAGCTGTGTTGGAAGTGAAACGATTTCTTGAAGAGTTTTGGCTTTGGGACTGATGTGGGCTGTAAATAACAAAATCTGTTCTTTGGGGTGCCAGTGCCTTCCCACCTTTACATGTTGCCCTCTCTGCCCCTGCAGGTCCCCAGCCTGTGTGAAGATCTCCTCTCCTCTGTGGATCAGCCCTTGAAGATTGCACGGGACAAGGTGGTGGGGAAGGATTATCTATTGTGTGACTACAACAGAGATGGGGACTCCTACAGGTGAGTTCCCCAGAGCTGGGGCTGCCTGCTGCTCTCTGAAGGGCATCCATGGGCAGGGCTTGCAGCCCCTTCTCCCTCTTATTTTCAGCCAAAAAATATCAGTCATTTAAAGATTTAGAGCCCCAAATGTATTTCTCTTTGTTTTCTGTATTCTGGATTGAAACCAGTCAGTTCTCTAGCAGAAATGGCCTTGGTAGGAAATTAGACCATTGCAAAGTTATAAAATCTCTGGAATGGATAATGACAGAAAAGAGATGATGCAAGCCATGGGTTTAAACAAAATCATCTTCAGCTTGTACAAAACAGGGGGGATTTGCCAGCTGGGAAAGGTTCTTTCACTCCATATTTTACAAGGAATTGACTGACTTTGGACTCAGTGTCATTAGTTCTGTTTGAAAATCTTGGCCCAAGTTTTTACCCAAGAAAAGGAATCCCCATCTACCAAAATAGCTGATATATTCTGAGGACTGGAGACAAAACCAGTAGAAATACTTGAACCCTATGAGCTGTGTATAATTATAAATAATTTTGAAGCAGGAGGGGCTGTAATACTGGAATGGTACAATCAGGTTTCAGTGTTTTGGCTGCCACACTGAGCACAGTCTCTCTTTTCATATGTTTCCCTCTACCTTGCCATTAGGATGATGTTGTTCATTTATGTTAAAATCATCCCTTCCCTTTCTCACATTGCCTGACTTTCCTTAATGGCTGTAGTGACAGTGGCAGAGTTCCAGATATTTAATATAATAATCATGAGTTTACAGTGCAGAAACCTTTGTGACTTTTATTCTTTCCCTTAACAAAGGGTGCTGGGCTCTGAGGTAAGGACCCCACTCATCTCCTGCCCTGAATTACCAGCTCAGCCATCCTGCTGCTTCTGGGGATGATTCTCAGGCTTCCACTTGTCTCTCCTTTCATAATTTACATTTTAGTGCTTGGAATTATCTCCAGGAAGAACCTCACTTTGCTCTGTGTAGATTTGATGTGGTGTTTTACATTCATCTGGCCAGAATGTTTGAAGAATTGTGTTTCAAAGTGGAGTTTCAGAAAATATTTTTTAACAAATCTTTTTTCTTTGGCTCAGGCATCAGTGCAGAAGCAGCTGAGCTTGCAGAGGATTTGAGATGAATTGGTTCAGTTGCTGTGAGTGCAGGGAAGGTCCCTCTCTAATGTGAAGCACGTGTGTGTGGATGATTTACACAGAGAACATGCTGAGATACATTTTGTCCTAGAAACAAGAGATGGAGAATGAGAGTGGATGCAGAGTTTGACAGTGCCTCTGGGTTGTGGCTGAGTGTAAATCCTAAGGAGTTGTTTAAAATCTAACCTATTGCAGGGGGCCAGGAAGTGAGCAGAACCCCAAGGTGGAGTGTGACTCACGTTCTTTAGGGCACTAATCTCATATTTAGAAACTATTCCAACCTTCCACAGAAGAGCCTGGTGCCTCCTGTAAAAGCATTTTGCATGAATTTTGTGTGCCCCAGCTGGCTAGATCCACATTAGGAGCTACTTTCATTGAATCAGTTCTGAATTAGGAGATAAAATAGGAGTTCAGAGCTTCTGCCCCCCATGAGATGTGCCCACAGCTGCAGCCCCTCTGGCACATGCAGGAGGGGGAATTAAATCCTGAATTTCTTGTGGATCTTTCAAGAGATGCTTTCTCCCTGAAGCTGTGATGTTTCTTGCAGCCCCTTTGCATCCTGCTCAGGCTGCTGATGTGGGCAGGAGTCACCAGAGACACAGGGAGCTGGAAAAGGCACTGGTTAGACACTAATGGGACACTGTGCAATCACTAATGACCCCTGTGGTAATTAGGGCACATGACAGCCCCTCCTCTAAGGTCAGTGTCACTCTTGCCTCTGAAATTTGCTCCATCTCTTTCTGAGAAGGTATTAAATAGCTACAAGGAAGCAGGAGGAATTTGGTTTTTAAAATCACTTTGAAATTTTCGGGACTTATTAAGTAATGAGGTTTCAGAAAAGCTCTTTCATTTGTTCCTCTAGAACAGGCACCATGTGTTAATTGCTGGCAGGAAAGAATCCTGCTCCTAAGGCTTTTGATTCAGGCAGTCTGGATTGAAGTGATTCTTCCTTCTGGAATTGATTGGTCTCAGCTCTGATTCATGAAGTAAATTCTTTCCTTCAGCACACAGCAGAAGCCTTTGAAACCCCAGCAGCTCTGCCCTGTGCATGTTAATCCCATTCTGTGCCTGTGTCCAGACACTGCTTCACCTCATCAAATCTGCACTTGTTACTGGGAAGTGCCTCTTATACTAATTTAATCAATTAGGCCAAGGCCTAGGAGGAGTTCACTGGGCTTTTAAAAGCTTTTGATATTTCCACAGCCATTTTCCAGAGCCACACGCTCCATTAGAAGTCCCAGGGAATGTTATTCCCTGCCTGCCACGTGCTGCATCCCCAATTCCTGCACTCTCCAAGCTAAACACCTTTCCTTCCTATTGGACAGGTTGCTAATTGCATTTCTTTTAGCAAGAAATACTTTTAATCCAAGTATTTCCAAGCATTCCCTGGTCAGCTGAGCCTCGCTGTCCTTCAGCAGAGGAGGTGGGGCTGGGTTCTCAGACTTTCTCATGGGATTCCAGTTTTATAGGGCTGGGTTTTTCCAGTGGCTTTGCAATTTGACTGGGAATTTGCCTGGAAAAAAAGCAGCTGTGGGAAGTGAATATCCTAATGCTTAGCCCATCACAGTTTAGTCTTTCCTTATGTTTAGACAGACTTGGTTTGCTTCATGTCAAATGTGGATCAGACTAAAAGGTGGATTTTGGAGTCTCCTTGGATCTTCATAAATAGATAATTTTTATTTTCTTCATATTATTAAATCCTGCTTGTGGGAGTCTCACAGGTACTTCTGTGAGTGCTCCTGGAATAACAAAGGTTTGTGAAGGATATCAAGCAGTCATGGAATCCACATTGTGAAGGCAGAGCTTTTATTAATTTTATTTTTTAATATTAGACTTCAAGGTCCCTGACTTTGTCCATACATTTCCACTCGAAGTGTGTTTGATCACTCTGTTAAATGGAATCCTTATGGGGAATTTGGGGCCAACAACACTGAAACCTGTTAGCTGAAACACAAACCATTCTCTTTTGGGGAAATTAGAGGTCTGACTTTTGAAATTTAAGTGCTTGTCCATCTGTCTTTCTTCAAATAGCCTCCAGTTAAGTGTTTAAATGTGTTGGGAGTGCATTTCCACAAAAATAAAAAATACAGGGCTGTGTTAGGAGGGTTTTTTTGTTGGTAAAGCTGCTGCTGGCTCCAGCTGGAATGGGATGAAAATGGCACAAGCTGCTGGCTGGAAGGGTCTGTTCTGGCTGCCCCCCAGTGCCATTCTGCAGCCAGGGGAAGAGTTTTGGGGTTTGCACTTGGAGCATCTCCCAGTGGTTCTGCAGGAGCTCCCTGCTCACCCTCTGCAGCAGATGGGAGCACCAGGGGGTGTTTATGTGAATCTCTCCCAGATTTCAGAGCTTTTAGGTAAAGAAGTGAAGAAAGAGCTGAGAAGGGAGCTGATCCCTGTGTGTCCCTGCCTGCAGGGAGGGCTCTGAGCAGGCTCTGCTCCCTGGGACCCAGCAGTGGCACCAGAGGAGCAGGCGGGGACTGATCCAGGGAGCTCCACCTGAACATGAGGAGGAACTTTACACCCTCTGGGACACATTGCCCAGAGAGGCTGGGAGGGTCCCTCCCCTCCCTGAGGGTGTTCCAGACCCATCTGGACTCAATCCTGTGCCCTGGGCTGGCCCTGCTGGAGCAGGGAGGTGGCACCAGCTGAGGCCCTGTGGGCCCTTCCAGCCTGACCCAGCTGGGATCCTGTGGCTGGTGACTCCTCTCCAGAGCAACCACATTTTAAGCAGCTGTTTAAAATCACAAAACCCCAGAATTACTGAGGTTGGAAAAACCCTCCAAACCCATTTAGTCCTACCTTGACCAGTCCCCAACTCAGAGCACTGAGTGCAATATCCAGGTCTTCCCTGGACACCTCCAGGGATGGGCACTCCAAACCTCCCTGGGCAGTTCCAAGGCCTGAGCCCCCTCTCCATGGGGAAATTCCTGCTGATGTCCACCCTGAGCTGCCCTGGCCCAGCCTGAGGCCGTTCCCTCTGCTCCTGTCCCTGTTCCCTGGAGCACAGCCCGACCCCCCCGGCTGTGCCCTCCTGGCAGGAGCTGTGCAGAGCCACAAGGGCCCCCCTGAGCCTCCTTTGCTCCAGGCTGAGCCCCTGCCCAGCTCCCTCAGCCTCTCCTGGGGCTCCAGCCCCTTCCCCAGCTCCATTCCCTTCCCTGGACACGCTCCAGCCCCTCCAGGCCCTTCTTGTGGTGAGGGCCCAGAACTGGACAGAGCACTGAGATAGAACCATGACCTGAAAACATCACTTGGGTGGATGTGACACAACAGCTCCACTTTCCCTGGTGTCACCTTTCCTGTCAGGTGTGGTTGGCAGGAGTTGTGGGGGCAAAGCAGAAGCTGGGCTTTGTGTTTTGTACCACACAGGTGCCAGACCCCGCTGCCTTTCTGAGAAATGAGTGACAAAGAGAAAAAGCCTTTCCCTGTGGCCAGCACTGGGACCTGGTGCTGCAACCAGGGGCTGGAAAAGGGAGTGGGGAAAGGGGAGAGAAAGGGTAGAGGTGCCTTTCCTTGAGCCAGCAGTGTGATATGTGGAAGTTGGTTACTCCAAGGGGAAATGAAAAGCAAAATGCAGGTTTCTAGAATGGGAGTTATAAAAGCCTCAAGCAGATGGGCAAAGGGTTCCATTAATCTTTTAATACCAAATCTTTCATTAAGAACACAAAATCTCTTCCACACCTGCAGAAATTGTAGTAAAACCTGCAGCTTTACAAACCCTGTTAAATCCTTCAAACTGTTCAAAGGGTTTCCCAGTGTTATGCTAAAGGTGGAGTTTATTTCAAAGCAGAGTAGTGGAGGAAAATGTGAACCTTAATCATAGCCAGCAGTGTTTGGCTGAAATACTGTCAGATCCCAAATAAACTACACAATCGATTAGTATTTGCATGAAAACAGGTTTTAATATTTAATGTTCAGCAGCTGAAGCCTTGTTGTTGAATATATAAGAAGGAACAGATTGAAACACAATTTTTTTTTATATAGAAAACCTGAAGCCAGGGAATGGCCCCAAGGTGAGTTTTGAGGGCTCAGTGTCCCCTTTTTGCCAGTGTTTGAAATGGCTGTGGAGAGTGCAGCTCTTACAGGTAGATTGCTCTGGGCATCTTTTGGGTTTTTGTGGAAGTTCGGCATCTGTGGATGAGCTCAGACCCATCAATATTAAACCTTTCAGAGCCATGGCATACCCTGAGCTGGAAGGGACCCCCAAGGACCATCCAGGCCAACTCCTGGCCCTGCACAGACACCCCAGCAATCCCTGGGAGTGTTGTCCAGATGCTCCTGGGAGCTCTGGCAGCCTCGGGGCTGTGAGCAGACTCTGTCTCCTTGTCTCAGTTTGAAAAGCCAGGTGTCTGCTGAGGAAGGCAGGAGCCTCCCCTGAAATGGAACATGTAAACCCCCTCCTTCCAAATTATTATAATTTTGAAATTAAGGGACTTTCAGGTAAAGATATGGGAGTAGGAATAACAGCTCTTTACTAGGAAAACTTAAAATACAAATGTTATAGTACAAATGAAAAAAAAACCTATGGACAGAGTCAGAACATGCCCTGTCCCCCTGTGTGTCAGGGGGTGGCACAGCCCCATCCCATGGGGGCTCAGCCCCATCCCATGGTGGCACAGCCCCATCCCATGGGGGCTCAGCCCTCCTGCAGTGCCAGCTGTGGCTCTGCTGGAGCAGGGATCCTGCACAAGGGGGGATTTTCCTCTGCAGCTCCAGGGCTGCTGCAGATGGGCCTGGGCTCCCTCTGGCAATGCAGGGCAGCAGAAGCTGCTCCTCTGGCAATGCAGTGGGCAAAGGCTGCCCTGGTGTCCCAAATCTTAGATTGTACCCAGGTAGGAATGCTTGGCTCCTCCCCTGGGCAATGCAGCATCTCCCCATGGGATGATGGAATTGGATCAGCCCTGCAGGGACACTCAGTGGCCATGGACAGCAGAGATCTCCTGCAGGGAGGATTGGCTGGGGGAGAGATAAAGAAAACTGCCCAGTGAGCAGAGATAACTGCCCCACAGATAGGAATGGAACACACAGCCCCATTTCCAGCCTAAGACACTGTTGTCTGTTTTTCTGTCCCCTGGTGTGACTGTCCCTTGTGTCCCTGCAGGTCACCATGGAGCAACAAGTACGACCCCCCCCTGGAGGACGGTGCCATGCCCTCGGCTCGCCTGCGCAAGCTGGAGGTGGAAGCCAACAATGCCTTCGACCAGTACAGAGACTTGTATGTCAGTCCTACCCTCTGAGCCCTGTCTGTCTGTCTGTCTGTGTCCCTGGGGCAGGCTGGGGGGAGGCAGTGCTGGGTTTGTGGTGCCAGACGTGATGAAATCTGTCAGCTGGTGCCAAAGGCAGGTGCTGAGGTGCTTTCCCACCTCCTTCCCCCTTGAACAGATTGATGCTGTCTCTGTCCTGGCATGACCTGGCTTCTCTTTGATCTCTAAGTTCTGGCTTAAACCATCTGCATTTTCCATTCCCTCAAGGCTGTACTCTTAAAAAAAAATCTCTATGTGCAGCAGCAGCTCTCAGATGTCCCAGTGAAAGGACAGGCACTGAAGTGCAGCAGTTGGGCAGGGATTGATGTGCTTCTGCTGCAGGGTGCTTGTTTCAGGCCCTGTCTTATGAAAGAGGTGTACAACAAAGGAATTCACAGGGCCTGTGTGGGCTCAATGTAGATTAGGCAGTGGCTTTTTAAAGCAGCAAGAGGAAACTGTCTGGGTGAGTTACCAGTTGAACAATTTTCTGTAAATTGGGGCTGTGCTGGTCCTGCACTGAACTTACCTCCACATCCTTGGGATGTGATCAAGTTCAGCTGTGGGCTCTGTGGTCTCCTAAGGAATGCTGGGGTGGAAAGTGATGCTAAAACTGCACAGCAAGTGAGTGTTGGAAAGCAAAATGAACCAGTGAGTCCTCTCAGGGAGGTGTCTAAAGCCCATGAACAAAGTGAACAAACTTCATTGCTGCTTCATGTTGCCTGAAAAGGGAGATAAAACACAGCCTTAGATGTAGTTTATCATGTTACAGTGCTGACAGAAGCACATTAAAAGGGACTTTTCTTGCTGGGTTCTGTGGCTCAGTGTAAATGCAGCCTGTCCAAATGTGTTAAACATCACACTTCTGTTACAGGTATCAAATCTTTACTTCTTTTTGTGCATTATTTTCATAGCTCTCCAACTTCTCTTGTAAGTAACAGTTGTTATTGGTATCTGAACTGACTGGAAGAAAGGAATTTTGCATATTCAGCAAAGCCAAATTTGCAGTTACTCCCCAGATGCAGAACAGAGTAGGAGCAATAAGATTTTTAATACCCTGAGATGAAAATGGGGAGGTTTTTGGAACCAAGGTTGTCTTTTTAAATCCCTCTCTGCTCAGATGACCATGAAGTTATGGCTGGATACAAAAAACTTCTTTAAACAGCTTGAATTGGCTGAAAGGAAGGCACAGGGCAGGTTTCTGACTGAGGTGAATCTGCTGAGCCCTGCTCAGCGTGGGGTACAGCTGTACCTTTATATAACAGTCTTCATGTGTTGTGTGGAAGGGAAAGGTGATTGTTCCAAATTCCACCTTTCTGTTTGTCAGTGCAGGTTTTACAGGCAGGAATGGTCAGAGGGGACCCAGGAGGGATCACAGCCAGGAGGACAGGCCAGACCATGGGCACAGGTGCCAGCACAGAACCCTTCAGTGCTTGTTGTGATCCCAAAAGTGGAGGAGGAAAAGAGGACAAGGCTGGCTTAATGTTTGGCTGAACAGTGTAAAAAAATTGTGGCATTTGTGGAAAGAATTTGGAAAGTTAAGGAAACTTAACCTCAGTGCCTGAAGGGTTTGTTGTGCTTAAAATCAGGATTTGTTCTTTACCTCCAACAGAGGTGTGGAGAGGAACAGCCTTTTGTTCTTGCAGTTGGGCTCTGCAGTTTTCTGAACAAGACAATTGGATTTTTGTGTTTTGACAGCAGAAGCTTAATTTTTACTTGGAGATCAGAGGGTGGAAATTCAGAGGTGGAAACAAATGCCAGCTTCTTTCAGTGCTGCTCTTGCCAACACGTTGGGTTGGGAATGGCTGCAGCAATTCCTCATGGAGCAGCTGCGGGAGCTGCCCCTGGGCAGGGCTGGGGTGGCAGGGATGTCACCCCATGGGTGGCAGGGGTGGCAGTGGCAGGGATGTCACTCCATGGGTGGCAGGGATGTCACTGCCTGGGCAGGGCTCTGGTGGAAGGGCTGGCAGTGGCAATGGCAGGGATGGCACTGCCTGGGCAGGGCTGGCACTGGCAGGGATGTCACCCCATGGGTGGCAGGGGGGCAGTGGCAATGGCAGGGATGTCACCCCATGGGTGGCAGGGATGGCACTCCAGGGGTGGCAGGGATGTCACTCCATGGGTGGCAGGGGTGGCAGTGGCAGGGATGTCACCCCATGGGTGGCAGTGGCAATGGCAGGGATGGCACTCCATGGGTGGCAGGGGGTGGCAGTGGCAGTGGCAGGGGTGTCACCCCATGGGTGGCAGGGATGTCACCCCATGTGTGGCAGGGGTGGCAGTGGTAATGGCAGGGATGTCACCCCATGTGTGGCAGGGGTGGCAGTGGCAATGGCAGGGGTGTCACCCCATGGGTGGCAGGGATGGCAGTGGCGGTGGCAGGGGTGTCACCCCACGGGTGGCAGGGGTGTCACCCCACGGGTGGCAGGGATGTCGCTCCATGGGTGGCAGGGGGGCAGTGGCAATGGCAGGGATGTCACCCCATGGGTGGCAGGGATGTCACCCCATGGGTGGCAGGGGTGGCACTGCCTGGCTGCTGGAGCTGGGAGCTGCCCCGGCAGTGCCTGTAGAGCCAGCAGTGGGGCTGGGCCAGGCAGGGTCCATGGAGGTGTCACTGCCCTGGCAATGTCACTGCCCTGGCAATGTCACTGCCCTGGCAATGTCACTGCCCTGGCAATGTCACTGCTCTGGCAGCTCCTGCAGCTGGGCAGGGAGGGCTCAGGGCATCCTGGGCCAGGAACCCGTGTCCTTCCCAGCTCCAGGGCCAGGCACAGCAGAGCTTTTCCAGCACTGGGAGATACTTCAGGCTCCTTGATGAATTAATCAAAGAGCTAAGCGTGCTGGCAGCCCTCAGGATTGTGTCTTTTGTGGAAATTCTGGTTACTGTTGGATGGGGAGATCTCTGCCAGGTTCACCCTCCAGGAGCAGGGATCAGTCTGTAGGCAGTGTGCAGAAAATCTACATTTTGAGTTGACCTGCAGAGGCTTTCATTGTTTCTGCTCTCTCTGGTGAGGTTGCCTGCCCACACAGATCCTTCACAGGGGACACCAGGCTAATTGATACTTCACATTACAAATTCTTTAAAAATGCCAGTTTAAGTGCAGTGGCTAGAGATGAAGAGGATGAAAATGGTGCTGAGGGAGAAGCCTCAAATCTGACACATCAGCTCCTCACCAGCAGTCCCTTAAGAGGCTCTTCTGTCCCTCTGTGGGGCAGAGAATGTTCCTGAGCTGCCTCTGTAGCCACAGCTGGTGTTTTATGAAAGAGAGGTAACAGTGAATACAGAATTAATCACAGCACTCACATGGAACACCAGATCCAGCCTGCCTGAATTTCCTGGACTGTTCAGGTTTTTTATTCCTGTAATGAGAGTTTCTGCTGGGTTTTTCAGAGTAAGTCATGCCTTTGTGTCCAGACTTGCTAGACAGCTTCTGCTGTCCCAGCTTGCTCCAAGCCCTGTCCAGCCTGGCCTTGGCACTGCCAGGGATCCAGGGGCAGCCACAGCTGCTCTGGGCACCCTGTGCCAGGGCCTGCCCACCCTCACAGAGAGGAATTTCTTCCCAATATCCCATCTAACCCTGCCCTCTGGCAGTGGGAAGCCATTCCCTCTTGTCCAGGGTCTCTCTCCATCTTTCCTGTTGGCTCCTTCAGGCCCTGGAAGGCTCCACTCAGGTCACCCCAGAGCCTCCTCTCTCCAGGCTGAACAACCCCAGGTCTCTCAGCAGTTGCTGTGCACAGGGCTCACTTCCCTCCTGAGCTTCCAAACACACCTGGTGCAGCTCATCCCAGCATCTGTAGATAAATGGGCCCTTCTGGAACATCTCCAGCCCACTCTGCTCTCCCCCTGTGGTCCCAGCCTCCCCTGGATCAGCTCCCCTTTTACCTTTTACACAGAAAGTGCTGATATCTCACAGGATTCATCTCAGGCCTCTCCCAGCACTTCAGATTGCTTCAGTTCTTCCTTGTGTCAGTCCCATTTGGCCCACACACCTTTCCTTTTTAGATTTCTCTTTTCATCAGGTGTGGTAAGTCTCCACCTACGTTCAGTGAGTCACTGCATTGTGTTTGCCATTTCCCAAGGGGCTGGCACCTGCTGTCGTGGGTGTTTTGAGGGAAACAGCCTGGTATGGGTTTGTTAACAGTTTGTGTGCAATAATCCACTCAGATTTGCTTGCTAGAGACCTTAATATTCAATTTTGTCCCCAAAAGCTTAATGGCCACTGAGTGACTGTAGTGTGAAAATGAGATTGGGGAAGTCTTGTAGTATTGCATGTAATAAAATCATGTAAACTGGAGAAGAACAATTCTGCTGAGCCTTCAGTGCCTGTGAACCAGTGCTGAACTGGCCTTAAGTGTCTGTTTTAGTGCAGACTCCCTTTAGTATCTCTGGAGTTTCCCACCTTTCCTTTCTGGAGGTATTTGGGTTAAAGAGGAATTACACCAGGTTTCAGTTCCCTCTCTGTTCTCTGTGTTAACAACAAGCATGTTTCTTGGTTATCTGTTTTACCAAAATCCATGTCACTTTCCCAAAAAACAACTGTTCCATTTCCATCTCCTGCTGCCAGGTTTAACTCCAGCAGTGCCTGGAGATAATGCTCTGGCATGTTTGTGTTCAGTAGGTTATTATTCCCAGATGGAACTCTAATATCTTACACCACTCACTTAGAGCCTTGGCTTTCCACTTCCAATATGGTGAAGATAATTTCTTCCAACACATGGTTGTAATTTATTGCCCTTTGCTTGACGTGTGTGTGCTTGATTGAAATCAAAGCGTAATGAGGACCAGGGCAGCTGCTTAAATCTCCCTATTTTAGATTCTGCCTTCCCTTGTTTGGGGTTGGAGATAATCAGGCCTTTAATTAAGTAATCTAATGGCTCTTTGTTGTCTGGAAGAAATAATTTCTGAAGTGATTAAATAGACCTCCCCTGGGAAGGATGCTGCTGATCTGTCTGCAAACAGGATGAGTTTTGGCAACTT